GGGCTCTATTCAAGGGCCCTTGGGGGCGTCCTGGGCTCTAGGGCTCTAGGGCCCGCAACAAGAACATGATGGGAAGATCCGGGTTCGAATCCCAAGCTCTTCCTGCTTAGGGTCGAGTGTTTAGGGCTCAGGGGTTTTGGGTTTAGGGTCTTGCGTACAGCGGCTTAGGGTTTTGGGGTTTAGGGTTTTGGAGTTTAAGGTTTTGGAATTTAGGGTTTAGGGTTTTGGGGCTTAGGGTTTAGGGTTTGCTTTCTGTCAGGAATCTGGCGAGGAAGGCGCAGGCTATGGCGTCGGCATCCTGGGCATTCAGTGGTTCATTCGGGCCATAGCGGAGGACAAACACATGCTTAACCATGCGTAACCTATATACATACATATATATATATATATAAATATACTGTACATGAACTATGTATACATATGCAAATACACAAACAAGTAAGTAAGTATATATATATATATATACATATCTGGTTCAAATACGCCTCTGCTTGAAACTGGAGCCTCTCAGAGAAGAAACTGATAAACCTGAGCGTGCGGTATGGACGAAAGGCAAAGAAAGGGTTTAGGGTTTAGGGTTTAGGGTTTAGGGTTTAGGGTTTAGGTCGTGCTCTTCTCGGTGAGTTCGGGTCAGAAGGGTGAGGTCACGAAGATCTGAACCCTAAGACCTAAACCCCAAACCCCCAAACCCTAAACCCTAAACATCCAAACCCTAAACCCAAAACCCTAAATGATGTCACCAATTCTCATTGGCATCTTCTGTCACAGGAGCTCCAGAGTTACAAATGCCAGCACTAGCTCATTCAGCAAGGAACATCGTTGGGAAGCCACAGGAGCTTGCGACTTCCCTGAACCCTTGCGGCGGAATCTAAGGGTTTAGGGTTTAGGGTTTAGGGCGTAGGGGCTACACGGCAAAGGGCAGGCCGCGTGCGATAGGATGATGACGATGATGCCGCCGCGATTAATTACCCTAAACCCTAGACGCTAAACCCTTCTTTGGATGGCTACACAGTCGATGAGCACAATGAAAATGAACAGGTCCGGATTTGAGTTGGCGATTCTGGGTACTTGGAGGCTCATGGGTAGTTATAAGTAGGGTTCTAAGTAGGGTAACTATAGCTATGACCTTTATTAGGGGACTTAAAACTCCACTTATTAGTACCCGTCCAAGTATGCCCCGGGCCCTAGAGGCCACAGGGATCCTTTGGACTTAGCGTGACTCGTCTGCAAGGTCTTCTTCGGCACAATAATTTCAAGTACTCCCTGATGTCTGAAGTCTGAACAGTTGAAAACAGTCCAGAAAATCACCCCACAGCCTAAACCTATAATGATCGCTGAAGGATCGCAGAAGGCAAACACCGCAGGGTTTTAGACTTTGGGCCTTACGACGCATGATTTGTGGCCGAAGTGGCACGAATCTCGACGATCACCTGCGTTCAGGGATTAGTATATACCGGGCTGAGGGTTAACGGGTATAGGACGTAGGGTCTATCCTATCTACCAGTTCACTCTGCATCTCGCGTGTAATATCAGTTCTCACCATAGTAGTATCCCCAAGACTCTATCGGAGCTACAAGGGTTCTGCTAACTCTACAGTGGTTCAACAAGGGATCTATAACCCTAATACTCCAAGTATCAACAATCGTACGTACGTTGGGGTCGAAAGTCCACAAACAGTACCTACATCGACCTACTTGGAACCTTAGCGTATGACAGGTATGATGGACGGAAGACGCCTGCATGCTCCTTCGCTCTTGATGGCTTAGAGTTTAGAGGCTCACTGTAATGTGCAGGTTGCCATGAGTCTGGAGTTTACCCTGAGGCTCAAAATAGCCTCAAGCCTTGGTCTTTCGGCCCAAAAGCCTTAAACTATTAGTCCTTAGAGCCTTAGGGAAAGAGACTGGTCAGACAATCGGTTCTTGCTCGGAAAATCTTGTTGAGATGCCGCAGGCCCAAGGGTGATACTGTTCCAGGGGATACGTCCCTAAATCATTTCGAGTAATTCTTCATATGAACGCCCAAAGTCATCCTTTGTACCTATACAGTAGAATGTAGGGTTTCCAGAATATGGAAACCTTACATTCTACGATATATGTACAAAGGATCAGTTTGGATGTTGAGATGGTGGAGGGTCAACTGTTGTCGCCACGCCCGGCACCCTACCGGCAACCCTGCAGCTCTAACCCCAACGCAAGCCCGCAAAGTTAAATCCAAGCCCCATACCCTCAGGCCGAGACCTGAATAACCGCCCACAGCCCCTGGATTTAGGGCTTAATGTAGGGACCTTAATAATTAGAATAGGGTTTGGGTGGTATATTATACTATAGTGATAATAAGGAACCCCGAAATACTATTGGCTTTTCTCGGCTTCTATATTAGGGTTTATGCCTTTTAAGCAGGATGTAGTTGCGAAGTGTACACGATATATACTAGTATGACTATATGTAACTACAAGGAAATACTCCCACTAAGAGCCAAGTTTATACAACTTTGCACACTACACCCTAAACACACACACACACACATACAAAGTAGTTCTGTCTGAGGTGTAAGGTAAAAAACCATAGAGGAGTGTTGCTGCATATTGTTACCAATTGAACCCCTAAACCCTAAACCCTAATCCTTAAACCCTTAACCCCAAACCCTGAAAGCCCTAAACCCTGAATGCGCACACAGTTGGAAGAAGCCTTGCCCGCTTCGGCGAAGGCTAGAGCAGGTGTTGGCTCCACGTCAGCCCTGCGGCAAGCAAGCACAGCAATAATGGCTTGGGGGTCTCGATGGCTTAAGCTAGGAGCGTTTCGGGTTTAGGGTTTAGGGAGGGTTTAGGAATCCCAGTTCAAGCTCGCAATGGAAACCACAAGAATCGGAGCTTACGGTCTTGGATTGGGGGTACCGGCCTTTAGAGGCAGGTTTTCGTAGGCCTACTTCTGCTCACACAGCAGTCTTGACTCATAAGGAAGCCCCAATAGGGAACCCCAAAACAACAACTGGAGGCTGGTGTTTGGAAGTCAGAGCCTGGGCCCTGAAATCGCAAGGCTCTTTTCCTGAAATCCGCGCACTAAACCCTGTAGGGCTTTGGGTTTAGGAGGTTTCGGGTTGTAGGGGTTTGGGGTTGTAAATTACAAACCCAACGCCCTTCTAGCCTAAACTCTATACACCCCAAATCAGAGCCCAGACCCCAACAAAAACATATCAACCCTAAGCCCTCGCCATAAGAACCCTGAGCCTCCGGCGCGATATAGAGGTCCAGTGAGCCCCCCCAGTACCCTATTCTCAGTTTTACGGTTGATGATATAAACCCTGCATTACCCATAAGGACTATACCATAATTCCCATAGTTTAGCGTCCTTAACGTAATGCAGGATTGATATCATCAACAGTAGGACCCC